TACGATACTGTTTACGGGAAGAATTGGTAATTATAGGTGTATCACCGAGATTATTCTTACAACTGTGGGGGGCTGACATTTCCCATACTAATACTGAATGGTCGGGAATAACATTCGGCATATTTTTACCATCTATAGCAGATGACATCTTAAAAACTTTAGAATCAGTAAATAAAAACAAACATTCATGTGAAATAATAACATAGTCAAGCACGGAACAACCATTTTTAACATAGGTAAAATCTTGTTTACCAATGCGTCCGTTTAGCATACATAAATTACAATCGATTAAAAAGTTCATAAGAAGTTCACCATAGGAATTCTCATTAAAATCAGTTACAGCCCGATCACAGATTTGGTCCGTTCCTGCAATTTAATCCTGGCCTGTGCCGACACGGGCATTAAAGTCCCCACACATGCACACAGTACCTTCATTCTCATATTTCTCTCCATCATTGGCTCTGCTTGAGCAAGCCGGTGGCAAGTAACATACACATAAAACAAGTTTAAAGTCCGGGTCAACGCGGGAAGATAACTGAAACCAACCAACCAACGCTGGAATCTAAAACGTTAACATTAAAATATTCTAAAAGGCTATTATTAAAAATGGCGCGACACCGCCTGATCCACGTTTAGCTCTGGCATTCAGATTGTCTGCTGTTTCCAAACCAAGTAAAACCATCTACTGCTAACTTATCACCTGGTTTTAGGAATGCTTCACAGATCCCTAAGATATCACAGTCGAGTTTATGTAAGACAGACTCCGAAAGTTTTGTTGACGTTTTCCCGTGTTGGCCAGCCACAACAGTTATAAACCTATGGCCAATGTTGTCTATTGTTCTTGCAGTTGCTTCGCATTATGGAATAACCTCGGTAGAGGTTTTACGATTGCAGGAGGTTTTACAATGATCATTGTAATACCTCGCAGGAGGTTTTACAATGACCGTTGTAATACCTCATACGAGGTACGAAGTTTTACAATGGTCGTTGTAAAACCTCATACCCTGATGACTGATCGTAAAATTACTAATTATTGAAAACTTCCAATATTCTTTGACGATAACTGGTTTCGAACCCACAACCCATCGCTCTCTAGCTTGGCGGTTTTATCCACTACGCTACGAAGGATCGCAGTGAGGAATGAGATTGTTTGTCAGTATGAACCATGTGTTTCTCACACGACAGGTACTGCGGGCAGCGCACGCATATGATGTCTATTATAAACCGACAGTGACGTCACTCTATTGTTCTTAGGGGACACTTTTTCTCGTAATATCCCTCAAATCTGATACAATCTCGCTTCCTCGGGCAATTATCTAAATAATGTCCCTCTGTCCCGGACAATTATCTTAATAACGTCCCTCTGCCCGGTGATTTTCTGAGGAATAGCCCTTGACTTTGATTTATTACTTTTTTTGAAGATTGATACGACTTTGTCTTGCCATCACTGAATGCGATCTTAAAATATGACATTATTGATAATTTCCAACATGTAGTGCCGACACCCGGTATTGAAATTAGTATATAGGTGGCATGACCACCCGAAGATCGACAGGACTGGATATTATTTGTAAATTGTTATGACGTGCCGTGTACCTCCCCAGTATAATTGCCCTAAAGGATTATCTTATCTTAGCTGATATCTCTATCCCCAAGCCCGACCCCAGGTTTTGCTTTTGAGGCGATCCCTCCTATCTGTTTCTTTTTATAGTGACAGTGAGACTGCATGGTAGCTACATCCTTAATAGTTTCAGCATAAAAGTTATTATTTTTTACGTCAGCTATCGTTTATAATGAATCTACGTCTAATTCAAATTGGGCATTTAAAAAGTGTCCTTTGTAATACAATATCGTCACACACTAATTTGCATAAAGCCATGGTCTGTTCCAAATAAGTCTTTTTGGACTTAGTAAAAAACCGTATTGCTCATTTCTGCACTAATTTCCCCTCAGTAAAGTCCTTTTTCTCCGTTTCCTATCTCTCTACCACTGAGACTGTAGTTAGGCCGAACTTAGTTTAACAGATATTTCACACTTTCACATATCAACTACATAAATTGTAAAGATAAATGAGAGAATACGTTTTTTTTCTATTTCCGACAGTACTTTAGCTTGGCGGTTTTATCCATTAGCCTACGTAGGATCGCTGTGAAGAATGAGATTGTTTGTCGGTATGAATCGTGTGTTCCTCGCAAGACGGGTAGTGCGGGCAGCGCACTGCAGGGCACGGGTAGCGCGTGCGGAGCACGTGCATTGCGAGGCGTCGGCTGCCAGCCTCATCCCAGTTGATTTCAACAGTAAATACCAAAAATTGAAATGATATCTAAAGTGTATCTTCGCTCGGTTTATAATTTGGGATATAACATGACCCGTGGGCATTATGGAAAAGTAAGCCCTCTTCCCTTGGGAAATGCCCGCGGGAAGCGGGCTTACTTTTCAATAATGCCCGCGGGTCATGTTACTAGTATATCCTACACGTAAATCCTCCCGAGACATCGCCTTGTCGAAATACACATGGGAGAAATCTTTGGTGTTGCGTACACTGTAAAACTTTGCCGTAAAATATACGGTAACATCACGTGAAAATGCGACGGTAGAATTACGTTATGACAGTGGCACGGTGCAATGCCGTTAACGTCAATAATTTACGGGATAACGCCGTTTAACCCCAAACCATTGTGGGATATACGGCATTTTACTGTAGTGAATGATTCTGACGGTATAATACCGTTTAACCCCAAAGCATTGTGGGATACTGTCATCCACGCCGCCGCCATTTTACGTTGGGTTTGATTACACGAAGACGAATCGTTCCAGAATCAGCTGCCACAAGACTCATCTATTGGTAATTTGTACTATACGATGTCTAGAGTATGCAGATTAAGGACTTACATGTTAACTATTTAGCTTTTCTATTGTTTCCAACTGTATTTTTGTGTTTGACAAATGTAATGACGTATCGTTGCAAAGAATGTACTTTTGAGACCTCTATCTTACGTCAGTATGTCAGACATTATCGTTTACACAGAAACGTACCGAACATTGTGTTTCCATGTTGTCAGGAGCTTTGTGTAAGACAATTTCACACGTACAGTGCGTTTCGAGCACACGTACTGCGTGATCATGGGCGCAACACAAACACGAGTCAGTCAAGGTCAGTAAATGGCCAGTCACATGTGAATGTACATCTTGTATGTAGGCAAAGCTTTTGTGACAGTACATTCTCTCGTATCGAGGAGCTCTTGAAACATTTGCGTCAGCATTTAGACAGAAGGGATCCCATTGTTTGTCCATTTAGATCATGCAATACCAAAATTGTACATAAATCAACATTAGTTATATTGTTAGAGACCTATATTGTCATCAGGACATAGGGAAATGTTTCTTTTTTTGTTTGCTGTTAATGCACATCATTTTGTCGCCTCTTTCCCCAGCTTAAACAAAGTACGAGGGGGTATAGCTGTATACAGCATATACTATGCCAACTTAGGTTAACATCGTTATACTAACTCTGATGATGTAAGAAAAGACCAGCTTCACACTGAAAACAATAAAATCTGAATCATCTGGTTCAAAGATTCATCTAACACAGTTGTATTCTTTTTATTTGAATAGCATATATTCGCAGCATTAAAAGCAAGGCAATTATAGATATAGTTCCCATGTTGTAGCTAACATTCCAATGCTGGTATGTGCAGGTAACCTCAGTAAATGGTTATTACTTTATTTGGCTATACATGCACAGGAATTCTACCGGCTGCCACAATTTCACCGTATATTTTACGGTATGAATACATTCGGTACACCGTAAAGCGACTGGTTTTGTACCGGCAGCACGGCTGCCAAACTATTACCGTATATTTTACGGTATGAATTATTACGGTATCCCTACTGTACCGGCAATGGCTGCCAGAGTTTTACCGTGGGTATGAATTATTACGGTATCCCGTAAAGCTACTGGTTTTGTACCGGCAGCATGGCTGCCAGAGTTTTACCGTATATTTTACGGTATGAATTTATTACGGTATCCCGTAAAGCTACTGAGTTTTTACCGGCAGCATGGCTGCCAAACTTTTACCGTAAAAATTAACGGTAAAGTTTTACAGTGTAGTTCCTTCTTTTTTCGTCTGCTCGCTGTTTTCTAGCGTCACTAACACGACACCGGGCTTATTGTCGTTAGGGGACTTTCTGACGGCATGTGTTGCACGGACATCTGTCAATTTCAGGCCGTCGCGGATCACCCGATTGACAAGTTGACAGGTGGTAGACGGGTTGTTGTTTTTCACGCGTGTCAATAGCAAGGTTACGTAAAACAACACTGCGATCGATATCCGACCCTTTCTTTACCTTCACGACTTCAGAAAATTTAGAGTCCAAAGACCGCGCATTCTTCTCCACTTCATTTATTCGGTCCTCTACTTTTTCATGCTAACTTTTCTGCGAATTTTCAAGTCTATCATCTTGTCTTTATCTTGTCTGTCAGCGCAGCTATTTGAGCGTCGAACTCCTTCTTCATAGCTTCAGTCTCCTGTCTCAAGAAAGCGGTCAGTCTAGCCGTTATACGAGCCTCGTTTTCTGCCAGTTGATCGGTAAAGAACTTTCGCATGTCAGTAATAGCGTCCATCAGAGTTTCTTGCGTGGCGTTGGAATTTGCACTAAATTTCACTTTTTTTGGCAGCGGACGGTTCGCACATACTATTGTCACTATCAACTTGGCTGTAGCATTGTTGTGACATCACCGCATTGACGAAACTGACTTCAAGCACTGCCATATTTGAAGCACGAGGCTCAATTTTCACAAGGTCATTAATCTCACAGATTCAACAAATAATGGCACTTTTAACAATAATAAAGCTTGTAAATCGTCACACACTGTCTGTTGTTTAGTTATTTAGTGCCTTCGTTGAAGGATGGTCTTCAGAGAAGGCGATGTTTGTGGATTTTTTTTCATTCAGTGTCGGAGCCCGTTCTAACACGTCTTCTCCATCCAAGGGAGATAATTAGGCCTCCTCGTCCTTCTCATGAGGATCCACACCCTCTCTTTTCTGAGAGCCAGTGTGGAAAGGTCAACTCAAAATTCAACTACTATACAACGCTCAATTGTGTTTCCCATACGACAATGGACGTATCAACCTGTTGAAGTATAAAGTAGGGGAGACCGGGGTCAATAGTAACACTTTTTACTTAAAGGTCACATGCAACGTAAAACACAACTTTGCAGATTCTGATACCTTTCGGTATGGACTTACCGAAACAAATCATCAAAAATGCAAATTCAACTTAAAAAGTTGAAAAATAACGCGATGAAAAAAACCGCGCGAAATCGTAGTTCAAACGATTCTCTAACTTCCCCCCAGAGCTTCGGGGTATTCAAGTGGTTTCAACAGCTGGGCTGCTCTCATAGCACATGCGCAGTGAAATAGGTTCGCGCGGGTTGTCCGGTGAATACTCGGAGAAGGCTTTGGTGTGAGCTATTATTCTAATGCATAGGCGTAGGAACAGTTTAAAAGTTTGTTGGTTTTTTTGTTTGTTTGGTGTGTTTTTTGTTTGTTTGTTGTTGTTGTTGTTTTGTTTGTTGTTGTTGTTGTTGGGGAGGAGGGGAAGATTTCGAAATTGATAACGGGGGTTGGGGTTGTGGAGAGAGGAGATATATGAAAAGGACAGACGAGTTCCCTTGAAACTTTAATTAATAGCAAATGCATTACATTATTCAGGTAACACTAGATCGACTGTTTATACATGCTAGTGCATCTCGCGAAATGTTCAGCTCTTATGAGAAAAGTCCAAAGTATACACCTGGAACTTAATTAAGCACCCCCCCTATTTTCTGGATGATGAGAAACAAAACTTGCTGTAACTTTCTCACTATTCCAAAGATAGTGGAACCTTAGCTATTGTGAAACATACGATCTATTGGCAAATGAAAAACAAGACAATGATTCCAATTCGTGTTGTTTTAATAGCCTAACCAATGTGATTTGGTCACTATTGATTTTTGATGAAAATAGTCACTGAACAAGTATGGTCGTAGCATTGTCAATGGCTGACTATTACAAGAAATGATGCACAAGGAATGTCACATGCTAACATCTGATGGGTCTGTCATCAGTATCGGGTGTATCCCCCACGTGCTTGGATGACAGCTTGAATCCTCCTCATGCTACTGCTAAACCTTCTGATACGATCAAGTGGCAATTGCCGCCGTTCTTCATGTAAAGCAGCTTCCAGCTGTGCAAGATTCTGGAGAGGGGGTTCTCTCAACCTCACACGGCGTCCAAGAAAGTCCCAGATGTGCTCCAAAGGATTCAAATCGGGGCTCATTGCTGGCCAAGGTAATGTCATGATAGCCTCATTGTGGAGATGTGCGGTCACAGCACGTGAAAAATGCGGCCTGGCGTTGTCGTCCATGAATATCGGGTGAGTAGCCAACGGATGGTTGTCAAAGTGAGGCACGACAACTGGATGGAAGAATATCCCGGATGTACTGCTGACCATTAAGATGTCCTCGGACAGTCACCATTTGAAGTTTACAGTCGTGTGAAAGACAACCCCAGATCATAACCGATCCTCCACCATAAGGAACAGTAGGGTGGATATTCCTGGGCACGTAAGCAGTGTTTTTATGCCCCCACACTCTCATTCGACCATCTGTAACGTGGAGGAGGACCTGCTCTCATCTGACCAGTGGACCCTCCTCCATGTCCTCAGGTTCCACTGCCGACGGGCCATACACCACTCCAGACGTCGTCTCTTAAGGAGAGCAGACAGAGCAGGACGTTTGATGACTCTTCTGAACCTCATACCAAGTGCCCTAAGGCGATTTCTGACGGTTCTAGTGGATGATTGTCTGTAGGGTAACCACAGGCGCTTCAAACCCGAACTTGTGGCAAAGGGTTCTCGCCTTACCAGACGTGCCAGGCTGCGATCATCACGGGCCGTTGTCTTCCTGGGTTGTCCAGGCCTTGGACGATCTCTCACATCTCCTGTCATCTGATGTTTCGGACAAGTCGGCTGATGACCGAGTGACTGTAGCCCAGTTGTCGTCCAATAGCTGTGAAGGACATGCCTGTTGCATGTATGCCTACAATTTGCCACCTTAGTGCTTCAGAAAGTCATCTCCTCGCCATTTCAGTATTCATTAATGGAGACAGTTACAAATTTGTCTGCTTTTATACCCATAAATTGCATATCAGAGAAACTGAATTTAGGGGAAAGTGTGGGATGTATGCTTTACGTGCACAAGGGATGCGTTGTGACGAGTGCAAAGGAACTGAAACGCCTTTTTAGACTACTAGAGATGTGTTGTAATAAAGAGATATCATTCATGTTTAACGATGGTTAACAGTTGCTCTACTATCATGAAATATATCAGGGGGTGCTTAATTAAGTTCCAGGTGTATAGTTGCGTCTTCTGTCATTGTAAGAAATGAACTCCAGGGCAACATCTACTAGAGATAGTTCATCAGCAATGGTTTTGTGGACATGCAGTAGCAGAACGTTGTTCAGACGTTCCTGTGTCATTGTAGATCTGACGTATGACTTCAGGCGCCGAAGCGTGGAGAAGGTACGTTCTGATGTTGCTGTGGTGACAGGAATAGTCAAGTAGATCTTCAAAAGGGTGCTTGTCTCCTTGAACAGGTGCCTTATTACAGGCGATGAGTTGATAATTGATACAACAGTATCAATATTTGTGACTTCAATGATTAAGCATCCTCTTTCAGTGGAGACAGATTTCACTGTGTCATGAAGCATGGAAAGCTGTGTGTTCAATCGAACAAAGTCAACATCATCTTTGTAGAGTTCTCTGATGTGAGAAGATATTTGAAAGTTCCGTCCATTTGCAGCAGACAGCAACAGTTGCTCTATTTCCACAGCAGTGTTAAATCCTTTCTGTGAGAATCTCCGCTTTAGTTGCTCTGAAACGATGTCTAGACCTTCAAAATATTGTTGGCCATAAAAAACTCACAGAAGGAAACGTGTGAGTATTAGATCCATCATCCAATCTCTTAGGCCTCTTCCGGTAGCGTGGTAGACGTGGAGGATCAGTTTTGTCTTCAGCTTCATCAACAACAGACTTGTAGAACTCTGAAAAAGTATCTGTACTCCTCAGCTTATCATAATACGCCAGTACTTGCTCTGCTCCCTTTTGTGCGTCCATCGCCGTTGTTTCTACGCTTTGAATGGAGGAAGACAATTGCTCTGGTGCAGCAAAAATTTGGGAAGAAACTTTCAGCCCAAAATACAGACTAAACTGGTCAAACTGTGAAAGTAAACCACCTGCAATCCTGGCATACTCATCGTGACCCTTATTGATTTCTTCAAATGCTTTTCGAAGAGTATCAAAGTTCTCCAAAACAGAGTTGATAGATCCTGTTCTAACTGTCCAACGTGTTGGACACAGAGGTCGTAAGCCACGAGTTCTTTCAGTTTGAGGCACATCCATGTCAAGACGCTTCTCAATGGATGGAGCTTTTTGAAGATTCTTGAATAGGTGTTCTCGTTTTGGAGAATATTTAATGAGCTTGTTCACTTCAATTGTGATGTCAAGAGCATCCCTGAGAGGTTTGCATGCTCTAGTGGCTTCCTGCAAAGCCAAGTTGATACAGTGGGCGAGGCAATGGACATGAACTGCTCGTGGTTCTTCTCTTTGCAGTTGGACAGCAACTCCATTGACATGGCCTTGAAAATTACCATCATAGCCTTGACCTCGGCAATTCGATAGTGGTAAGTCACAATGGATAAGTGTGTCTTTTAGTACTTCTGTTAGTGTTGCTGATGTTGTGGAAGGAACCACATATAGGCCAATAGCATCCTCATGGACACTGAAATCATTCTCCACCCGACGGATACATATGACAACTTGTTCTTTGTTTGATATGTCTCTTGTTTCATCCGCCATAACGGCAAAGAACCTGGCAGCTTTGATTCTCTCAAGAATCTTCAGTCGCACAGCTCGGCCCAGGAGCATCAATTGCGCATTCACAATTGCAGGTGACATATATGTTTTCTCAGATAACCATTTTGGCAACCCCTCTATGTCAGAACCTCTCAGTTTCAGAAGCTGAAACAAGTTCGATTCCTCTTCAATATGCCCTCGAAGCGCTAATCCTTGCCTTGATAAGAATAAGAGACATGACAGCTGCACAGGCAGAAGGTTTCGTCTGCACTGCTTTTCCTTGGTAACTTTTGCCAGAAGTTAACTTGTGACACTGTCATTACCATGTTTCTTGTGTTTTGCAAGGGCATCTCTGTGATATGAACTCTTATCATGCTTTTTGAACTTATCTCCAGACTTTTTCCAATTGTTGAAACCTTCTGATATGAATGTTGCTTCAGGTTGTCTGGAGGTAGGATGCTTCTGCAGATCACTGTCCTTACCGTAAGCCAGTCTGCAGTAAAAGCAGAAAACTTTGTTTCTTGTTGTACACAGAGTAAGCCAAGGGTATTCATGAAACCATGAGAACGAGAATGATCTCCCAGGTTTCGTTGTTGTCTTTTTCAAGGTTGATGCAGCATTTGGCTGATAAGGTTCACTAATTTCAGAACAACAAGGTGAATTGCACACATGTTGACGTTCATCTTCATCACTGCCGGGCGATGATTGGAGCTCAGATGTCAGAGAACTCTCCATTGAAACATCCTTACTCTTGCTTTCACTGATGATGTCTGGAACTGGGTTTATATGAGACTGAGAGTCTTGTGTCCGGGAAATTCTGATGGTTTTGTCTCACTTTGAGATTGCTTCTCGCTCTGAACTGAAAACATAAAATCCAACGTCCTCTGTTTCTTTTTCTTTTTTTGGGGGTGGTGGGGGGTGGTGGTGGTGGTGTGTGGGGTGTTGTCACTTTCTGCCAAGTCAGTATCAACATGTTTTTTCTCAGTATCCAAACAAGCAACAAAATGATTTGGTGACCAGTTCTTAGTATTTGTGTTTGTACAATGTGTCCACATGATGCAGACAGGTTCCTCCTCCACATCGTTCAGAGGGTGTATTGTTTGATTAAGTACATGTCTGTTTGTAGCCACATTTTGGATTTTGGGATAGATAAATTGAACTGGTCGTTTCAGAACATTTGGCAAAATAAACATGTGTAAAACTGATGAATATTCTCCATTTCTTGTTGTTTTCATCACTAAATGTCTGTAATGCTGCATGTTGTCACCCTCTGCAGACTGACTTTCGGATGACGTCAAAATATACTGTAACAATGATCCGTTACCTTTGGCTTCAGAAACACTTGTCAGTTTTGATTCATTTAAGTAATGTTCTTCATTGTTGATAAGATCAAAAACACCTCTCACTCGAAGTTCAGTATAATAATCTTCAAAACCAAAGCAGAGTTGAGAGGCTGACCTCCAAAAACAGTTTGCATCTCCATAGCATCTGACTGGGGTAAGATGTGTAGGAGCATCATCTGGATATAACATTCTAGCAACATGATCAATACTGAATTGCATATTGCTATAGTTTGGCAAATGATTTAAATCCAGTTCAAATTTGTTAGTGTTTGACTTTGCAATTTCTCCACAAAGAGTGTCCCAGCCTTTGTCTGCAGCTTTAGAATACTTCACAAGAAGGTCTTTATAATAACTTATTCTCTTTATATTTGGTCTTAAATATCTGAAAAATAAGAAATTGGAGTCACTGTCATTTTTTCTTTATGATAATCATATTTTGGGTGCTGACAAATAGAACAATAGGTTACTGAAAAACAATAGTTTTATACTATAAATATATTATAATAAACATTCAATAACAAGGCAGAAGTGAGCACAGCTCACATACCCCCGCTTATAGTCTGATCGCCTTCAATACCATTATTGAATACCAAAATAATATTTTAGTAAAACTTTCAATTTTGGCATCATGCAATTGAAAGCCAAAATCCACAATGGCACCATAAGGGTAAGTTCCATGCCAAATTTGAAGTTTGTAAGTGGTATAGTTTTTGAGTTATGCTCAGAGAAAGCATTCCGGACGCACGGACACACGAGGGTTTAATAATGCAGCCATTCTTATTTCATACATGAATTTGGCTTTCAGATAAAACCAGCTCTCTCACTGCCAATGCATGAGTTTGAAATCGTGTCTTATTGTTATTGTTTGAATTTTCAATAAATAAATCAAACAGCACCTATTATACTTAAAATATGGCTATTACTGTAAACTAAATGTTACTGTATAGACTACACTGTTATGTCAATGTATGTTGTCAACTTACCGCTGATTCGAATCCATGTTGGCTGTTAATAACAGCCTGACTGCCTCTACTTTCACTTTTGTGTGACATGAATTAAAAAAATTGGATTCTATCATTAGCGGATTTTTTTTTTTGATCATGTTATTTTTTCAACGTTACCAGAGGCTCGAATTTGTGTTTAATTCTCTATTATGGTCCCTAAAAAATTTCCAGCTTGTAAAAATGGGGGGGGGGGGATATTTTTTCTGAGGGGGCAGCTGCCCCCTCCCTTCCCCCCAGTTCCTACTCCAATGTAATGTTTTGTTGATATTTCACAGGCGCGAGCTTTTTATATGTTATGACAGTAGATTAACTGTTTATATAATTTCATTTGTCTATTTCACAACACGTTCTTCTTACCGAGTCACTTTCTCAGTTCGATACTTAAAAGCAATGTCATTATTTAGCGTTGACAGAATTTCTAACTGTGATATAGATATGTCGTTGTCACAGACAAAACTCAATGTCAGTTTTATAGACACCTATGTGTCTGCCTGCCTGTCTGCTAATGACAATATTCAATACACAACTTCGATCACTGACCACATGCAATTTCAATTTAACACCTATCAGGCTATACACCATAAACAAAAACGCATTGATTTATGGCCCGAGTTCGGTCTCTGTCACATTATGTAATTACACAGACAAGCAGGTGTGATACTTGTTCACATGACATGTTATGATTTCTGTTGATTGCAAAATGTTATACACAAAAAATGAGCATGTATTTACAAAACCCAACATCTCTATATGCACACACAATGAGCCGTGAGGGAATCTGCAAATGAACCAGCCGTTACACTTGAGTGCACACCCACCCGCTCTGACTGGGTTCGGTATCCCGGCTGCTTCGTTTCTTGGGAAGTAAACCCAAGTACAAAATATTGCACTTTTGATTTGCGATTGTACGCTTATAATTTTGTTTATATGTTTTTTCATAACCAGCAATGTATATTATATGTCATGAATAAGTGATAATTGTGTTTTAATTATGTTTGATTTTTTGGTTGCATGTGACCTTTGACTTCTTGTCATTCGATACTAGTCGACCGCTCACAAAGTTAATCGGTACTAACTAGTACATTGGCATCTTGGTTTTAAACCTCAGTGTCATTTAAAGTTCACTATCATGTCGTTACAAAGTTATTACGTATAAAATGCAATGACTGCAAGTGTTACAATTGACCCCTAGCACGGGGCAATTGTAACAGGCGGATGGGGCACTTGTAACAAAGAAGGTTCAAATGTAACAATCTGTTTGTTTTCCAAATAAAATTAAAATAAAATGTGGAAAGAGGTTATCTTGATCAATTGAGGTGGAAATGGATTAACATTAAACCTTTATCACCATCGACATTTAAAATGTTTTTGGTTTAAAATTCTTGTATTGGTATGCCCAAAATATAATACAAAGACTAACACCAAAATATGTCACCCGAGGGCTAATACTATCAACATAACACTGAACATATTCTACTATGATAAAACAAGTAAAGAACTAACATAAAACCTTCATCATAATTTGCTTCATTATCATAACATTAGGGAAAATTACATGGGGGCAATTGTAACACAGTGTTAAAATTGCCCCCGATGGTAGTAGCCATGTTTCATGCCACGTCACACGTTAACAACTTTGGGCTTCTCAAATATTTCTACTTCAAAATATGTCGTAATACCTCAATTTTACACTTGTTAATTAATTTCATACCAAGCAACATTTACTGCCTTAAGAACCTTTTATTACGTTTTGTGAAAAATTCACTTTCCTCTGTGAAAAACGGTTCTTCGTCAACTGTATCTCGCCATGAGCGAGCAGCTGAAAAACGCCTGGATGTGTACCGTAGGAAAGTAAAGGGAAATAACTCAAATCACCTCATTATACTTGAACGAAAACTTTTAGAGTAACCGCCCTTGTTACAACTGCCCCGTGTTACAATTGACCCCGGTCTCCCCTATCTACCACGGCTTGGAGCAGCATGTGACTATAGACACTAAACTTGAACTGTTTTCTGGATGGAATCCTATCCGTCGCTGACAATGTCCGTTTGAATCACAGCTTTGTTTAACCGTTTTGGTTTTCTAATAAATAGATAATAAACGATTTCATCGTTTTGTTCTCTGTCCGTTAAGATTGCTTGAGTCAATGTGAATGGTTATTGAACTCATAAATGATGATGTAAAACGTCACAAGTTTTACGTTTTAATAGCTTTTTGATGACTTTATTATCAATATCATTAAGAAATTTGTGTTTTTTCAAAACGAAAATCACTGCTAAATTTCCATAAGTATATTTTGAGATGACCCCCGCGATTGTAAGTTTCACTGAGACGTCATAAACATGTGTATAGAGTGGCTGAACTGTTGACTTTAATGTTCCAGAGTGAATCCTATTGTCCATTCGTATATCACAGCTTTGTATTGAACCGATTGACTTGAATCAATAACTGATATGAATGAATTGTTTGTTTTGTCAGTTTTTGCATAGAATATAATCTTCATATACCTCGATGATAATATGTGTAGTCTCTAGACAGACATCGACACAAACTTCACAGATCTATGAACCTCTCATTCATACCAATACATCTAAAAGTAATATAATCATTTGAATTGTGAGTTTAAACGCGTATTTTACATGGATTTACCTTTACAAGGATGAGTGCATTCCGCACAAACGCTACACCCTCCTGTTATCAATGTGTAACTGTTTACAGTTCGACA